TTCTGAGGTGGTTTAAATGCAGCTGTTCCACCTCAAGTCAGGCATTGGATCCTCATAAGGAGTACCTCCAGAATCCCTTCACATCACGTTACAATGGTCCCAAGCGCCTAGGAGAATCAAATGCTGCCGCTGATCAAGAGGAGGCCGACTCAGTAGTCACGCTCTCGCCGCCCGCCTCACCTCCGGCTGGCCCCGATCCCTAACTGAATATGGACCAGCACCAGTCAAGTCAGGGCCCAGCCCTACTAGCCAGCACACACCAGCCCAGGTGGAGACACTACTCGTGACCCTGTGGCTGGTGGGGAAGGAAACCTGAGGCCATTTCCTGACCAGGATGCCACACCCCCGACCCAAATGCAGAGGTTCCCCACTCAAACCCACTGTACACTCCACCCAGAAACAGAGCCTGAGCAGCACAACAAGACCCCCATCCCTGCAGCAAAGAAAGAAAAATTAGCCAGCATGCTGGGTCGCGCTTGAGTCCCAGCTGCTCGGGTGACTGAGGAGGGTCGCCTGGAGGCCAGGATCACGCCACCACATGCCAGCCTGGGTGACAGGCAAGACCCTGTCTCGGAAAATATAAATAAACTAAAAACCAGCAGAAACTGGAATTGCATGTAAAGGGTGGAAGAAAGCGCACTTGGGAGACTAGCGAAGCGGCACCACAGGGTTTCTATCCAGGAAGAACAACCGTCTCCCAGCAAGTGCTCACGCCCTCATGAGACCCTGTGGCAGGGGCTTCAGCGAGGCCACGTGGCTGGCCTCTTCCTGCTTTAAAATCAGGATGAGACCAGACGCTGTGATGACACACAGGGACTACAGCAAACCCTGGAGAGTTCTAACTGAAAACAATGACATGTGTGAGTTCTATGACAACGTCAAAACAATGGAAGGAGGTACCGTTTGCAGATAGAACCTTCAAGAAGTCTATTCAAGTGTTACCTCTTAGGAAAATAGGGAAGACTCATTTTCACTCCCATAGACAACTTTTGTACTTTTGCACATAATACAAAGAAGTGGTTTATGGCAGTGGCCGCATGTTTTCACGTGTATCACCTTTTGGGCATCTTCTGGGTTTACTGGGGCAGGCGGCTACTTTTTATTCCCACAAGGCACAGGAAGTACTTGGGCATTATCTCCTCTCATGGAGCATCTACACTAACAGGAAGAATGTCGTGCTCAAATTATGTACCTGCACAAACACGGTTTTTCTTCTGAAAACTAGACATCACAAACAAACACGGCACATATCACCCTAAAGCGCACAGGAGGCAGAGCCTCTTAGTAGAAAGCATGGATGGCTGGTTAGGAGCATTATTTTAAAACGTTTCTATGAGATGAGTTATCCCAGAGCCCGTTTAATTATACATTCAAAGGCAAGTCATTATTAGAGCGTCAACCTTTAACAGAAGGTTCACAGTAGATCCGGCAGCATTCCCCTGGTAGCTTTTCCAGTGCTCAGATTGCAGTGTCGATGCAGCTTGGTAAGCAGTGGGGAGAGGCGGCTCAGAGGCCCAAGCACACAGGTCAGAGCCCTCCTGGAGTCCGACAGCCTCACCTGGGCCTGCTTTCTGCACTGCTGGGGCTGCTCCTTGAGATTATGCCGGAAGCGGGCTGTGCATGAGCAGCTCTCAGCAGAGCTCTCAACAGCCAGAAGCCGTTCCACCCACACCCGTCATCCCCCTTCCCTAGCAGAGAACACCCCGATGCAGAAACAGGAGAAACAGGTGTGGTAGGTTGGCAAGCCAAGAATCCACCCCGGATCACCACTCCAGAAACAAACATACACCACTGCCCAATGTTAATTAGGAGCCAAAACATGTGGGAAGTCCACAAGGCCCACACTGACCACAGCCAGACACCACTTCTGCAGAACCAAGCACGCGCCTGAGATCGCCGTAGTAGCCAGGAGGCAACTTGAACAGAGACAAGCAATGAGAGGAGGCACAGGGCCCAGGAGTTCTGCGGTGTGCCCGTCTGTGTGACCTCACTGGGATTGCTGACCTCTGGCCCGTGGTGTCCGTCCTGTGGAGGAAGTGGCCCCCAAATCCCTGCCTCCTTCAGCGCTGAGCGGAGGCTGCTAAGAAGCCTCCCAGGGCTGAGACCGCTCAATCCTGTCAACTGCACACCATGGCACACAGAGTGAAGCAGAAGTGTCAAGTCGCAGGCAGGAAAGAAAAGTATGCAATCCTCCCTATCCAACAGGCATTGAAAAGGAACAGAAGGTGGTAGTCTTGAAGCCACCACAGCTATCGTCCTGTTGGATGTTTTTAGCCAATCAAGACATCTCTTTACCAAGCACCTGTGTTTAGATCCGTTGACAGATTCAAACAACCTCTCGGAGCCCTGCGGCCCTGGCCCCATTCTCATCACCTCTCCATTGGAGAACAGGCCCACCTGGACACCATTCAGATGGTAGGGAACAGGAACAAGGGTAAGCTTTCCCACAGCCACCTGCGACAAGCTCAAACCCCGAGGCCCGGAGAACAGCGACGTTTGCTTAGACGCTTTCCCACACTGGCCTTGTCAGGCGGCGATTCCCATCCGCCACCCAGTGTTTGACTCTCTCCCTGGGATCTGGCCTCCACCAGCCCTCACAACTCACAGAAGGCTGGAGAGCAGAGGCCAAGCTGACAGGAGGCCTCTCTCCATCCTACTGGGTCGCTCAGGACACGGAGGTTCCCAAACACACACGGCCCGGGTATTTCCACCTGGAGAACATTCTAACAACAGAGCGCTGCAAAAGAGCGTTTCCCCTAAAGAAAGCTCAGTTTCACTTTAGCAAAAGGGGAAAAATAGGAGGCCCAGAACTTTCCAGAAAATCAAGCCTGGGAGGAAGCCCCTCACCTCTGGCACTTCCTAAACCTGCCTTCCCGCGAGTGCTCAAGAGGTGTCAGGCATGGCCAAATCCACCAGAATGGCCTTAGGGCCTCAGGCAGCCCAGCACCTGGGCAGCAGGCGAAGCAACCCCAGGGTAAGCGTCATCCAGGCACCCACTTCCCGGAGCCCCTCGGCAAGAAAAACAGGCAGGACAGAGACAAGAGGCTGACTCAGGGCTGGGGAGCCACAGACTTGCACAGCTCAATCCTCCGGACCGCTCTGGACAGAGGCCAACCCAGGAGAGGCCAGTGAGATCCCCACTCGTACGGCTCCACGAGCCAAGCGTCCCCAGGGCTGCAAGTTTGCGATCAAAAGCTTCAGAATCGGGTTCAGAATCTTCGGAATCAAGACACACCCAGCTGTAAAGCTGCCAGGACAGCAGGAGCCCAGGGAGGCAGGCTCAGGGAGGGCAGGTAGAAACCCACACAGCACACACGTGTGCCATGCCTCCACACATGCCTTCACCGATACTGCTTTGCATAGCGCCTCTATGCACTCCTACACACCCTCAAATACCTCACCAAATGTGATCGTGTACACACTCCACACACCCTCCAACACCACGACACACGCCTTGAACAGCTCCTCCACACACTGCTAAATACACTCACCACACACTTTCGCGTGACCCCACACGTGCCTCATTTCAGACCTCACGCCCCCTCACCAAGTACACAGGTGCACACATCCCCCAAGTCCAGCACCTGCAACTCCACAAGCTTTGGTTTCCCCACTGTTTCTCTCATCACATGAGATCCACACACACATGTCATTTACTGACATCTAACACCCGGGAGGCCCTTGGAGAAGACTGCAGTCACACGTCCCTGACCCCATTCAGGCATTCATCACCCAGCCCCGGAAGCCACCTCTCCTGTCCCCACACACGGGAGGGCGGAGACCATGAGCGTCGCTGGAAACACAGATCCCAGGCTGGCAACCCAGCCCGAGATCAGGAGGCTCGGCCGCCCTGGAGGGAGACAGGTACTGGCTCAGGTATGCGGCCCTGCAGATCCTCATTTCCACTCACACGGCGTCACCTCCGACGCGTCGAAAGAGTGAAAGCCAGTGGGGCTTAGCATTCCTGGGATAGACGGTCCTGGAATTACAAGGGAAGCTTTTCACTTCTCCTCTAGACACATGGGAGTCCATAGTCCCACGCTCATCTAACCCTGGGAATCCAGATCGGTGACTCCTTGTCCACCCTGAGGACCACCCAAGAGGATCCACACACACTGCAACAGCACTGCCTGGTCTGGGAGTAGCAAACAAATCCCACCTTTTAGCGAAAGCTAGATTACCCCGACACTGGCAGCCTGCAGTGTATATATACGTCAGGCCCCACATCTGCGGCGCCACCTGCAAGAGAACTGAGCCCTTGAAGTCCAGGTTCTCACATTACCTGAGGTGGATGCTGGCACCTTCTCTCCTCCCAGTGGAGAGGGAGAGAGGCCAGAACCAGAGCTGGCGTGTCTTGGGAGGTCAGGGTTCAAAACCCCATCATCCACCTCATGGCCCTGGCCGTTCAAGTGGCTTCACCTCATCAGCCTGAAAATGGACCACAGTTACAGTAATTCTGAGTACTGTTCCTTCAGCGGAGACATTTTCGCGCTAGAACAATACGCAACTGTAAAGCTGCCAGGACAGCAGGGCCCAGGAGCAGGCTCAGGGGAGGAGCAGGTAGAAACCCCACACACAGCACACACGTGTGCATGCTTACTCCACACATGCCACCCCTTCACCCGATACTATACACGCAAACGCCTCTATGCACTCCATACACACCCTCAAATACACTCACCAAATGTGATGCGTGTACACACTCCACACACCCTCCAACATACACGACACACGCATGAACACGCTCACTCCACACACACCTGCTAAATACACTCACCACACACGCACAAACGTGACACACGTGCACACTCATTCCAGACCTCACGCCCCTCACCAAGTACACAGGTGCACACATCCCCAAGTCCAGCACCTGCAGACTCCACAAGCTTTGGTTTCCCCCACTGTTTCTCTCATCACATGAGATCCACACACACACGTGTCATTTACTGACATCTAACACCCGGGGAGGCCCTTAGACAGAACTGCAGTCACAAGTCGGCTTCATTCAGGCATTCATCACCAGCCCCCGGAAGCCACCTCTCCTGTCCCCACGGGGAGGGGGGGCCGAGACCGCAGGCGTCGCTGGGCTTACAGATCCCCAGGCTGGCAACCCAGCGAAATCAGGAGGGCTCGGCCACGGCCCTGGAGGGAGACGGGTACTGGCTCAGGTATGCGGCACACGGGTCCTCATTTCCATGCGGCGTCACCTACGACAGCGTCGGGTGAAAGCCAGTGGGGCTTGGCATTCCTGGGATAGACGGTCCTGGAATTACAAGGGAAGCTTTTTCACTTCTCCCCTCTGAACACATGAGGTCCATGGTCCCCGCTCACATCTAACCCTGGGAATCGGAATCGGTGACTCCTTGTCCACCTGAGGACCACCCAAGAGGATCCACACACCTGCTGCAACAGCAGCACTGCACCTGGTCCGCAGGGTAGCAAAGCAAATCCCACCTTTTGACGAAAACTGGATTACCCCGACACTGGCAGCCTGCAGTGTGTATATATCGTCAGGCCCCCACATCTGCGGCGCCACCTGCAAGAGGAACACAAACCCTTAGTCCCGGGTTCTCACGATGGCCTGTGAGGTGGATGCTGGCACCTTCTCTCCTCCCAGTGGAGAGGAGAGAAGGCCAGGGCCAGAGCTGGCGTGTCAGGAGGGTCAGGGTTCAAAAACCCCATCATCCACCTCACACAGCAGCCCTGACCGTTCAAGTGACTTCTATCATCAGCCTGAAAATGGACCACAGTTACCAGTAATTCTGAGTGCTGTTCCTTCTGACGTCAGACATTTCGCTAGAAAGATTTTGCCAAATCTGCTTTCAAAATCCTATGCTATGAAATGTCTAACGAAAATCTGAGCTGTGAAATAAAGCACACATTTCAATGAATCCCAAAATGACTATCCCGAAGGAAGTTGTAACTTGAAGTGAAAAATACCCTCTAAAAGACATCAGCCAGAATTACCTGCCATCATTACTGATCCCATATGATTAATGAATTCTACAGCATCCTCTCAGATATAAACTTAAAACCATGAGCTGAATGCACATGTTAGCACAACCAAAGTTCTGCTTTCATAAGCAGCACAGGCGTCTCTGGAGAGGATTTTAATTGGGACTACAAACCACACACGCACAAACGTGACACACGTGCACACTCATTCCAGACCTCACGCCTCACCAAGCACACAGGTGCACACATCCCCAAGTCCAGCACCTGCAGACTCCACAAGCTTTTAAGCTTCCTCCCACTGTTTTTCTCTCATCACATGAGATCCACACACACACGTGTCATTTACTGACATCTAACACCCGGGAGGCCCTTTAGAGAGAACTGCAGTCACAAGTCAAGCCATTCAGGCATTCATCACCAGCCCCGAAGCCACCTCCTGTCCCTTAATGTGAGTGGGGTGCCAGACCGCAGGCGTCACTGGGCTGATCCCCAGGCTGGCAACCCAGCTAAATCAGGAGGGCTCGCCACGGCCCTGGAGGGAGACGGGTACTGGCTCAGGTATGCGTGTACACGGGTCCTCATTTCCATGCGGCGCCACTCTGCTTACATGCCAGAGTTTTCAGTGGGGCTTGGCATTCCTGGGATAGACGTCCTGGAATTACAAGGAAGCTTTTTTACTTCCTCTGATCACATGAATAAGGTCCCCTGACGCCCGCCTCGCACCAAACATACAAACTGTTTTTCACACAAGACTGTGATGGAGCTAGCTCTGGGGCTGAAAGCAAATACGTGAAACTTTATTTTCCCCCATTTTGATGGAGTGTGAAGACTGTCAGCAATCCAGGGCTCCCAGTGTGAAGCAGAGAACAGATGATCTGACTCCCGCCTGAACATCTTCTTTCCCTCCCCTCTCTTGGATATTGAACACCCCCAGAGCTACTGAGTCACTCCATACTTGCAGGTCATTTATCCAGCCACCAAGATAACGTAATTATGCGAGAAAAATGCCTTCTCAGGGCTTTATCATACTCAGGAAGGAAGCTCAGGAAGGCTAGGGAAGGCCAAGAAAGGGGGAGCGCTCCTCCAAACAGACAAAACTAGAAACCTGTGCAGAGACTCTCTCAAGAGAGCAGAAACATTCGCGGTAGCCTTTTTAGGCCCTGTTACGAGCCCTGCATTAGGTGACACTTCTCCACAGATGCATCCTGCTGGACTCCATTTGAAAAGCCCGCTGGCGTGACACTGACACCCACTTCCAGTGCTCCTGCAAGACCGGCTGCAGCCCCACTCCACCCCGGGCCAAGTCTCACACAAGGATCTCACTGCTCAAACACTCCCTGCAAAAACAAAAATCCAAAACCCCTTAAAGAATGTTTAATATAACCTCAAAAGACGACTCCATCCCAAGACCATGGAAGATACACACACCTGACATCTGGTGGGCATCAGTGTCCACCACGGCTTCCGTGTGGCGTGTGAAGCTGAGTCCTGTCACGGTGACTCAGGCTGGGGTCTGAATAGGGTCTTAAAAGCACCAAGCAACTAGACGTACACCCCAAAACCCAAGTCCCCACACTCATGTACCTGTCAACGCTGCGTGGCCATCACCACCAGATGTGAAACCAAGATCGATCTGTATCCCGTGGCCCTCATAACCTCCGTACATGCCTGGGCTCAGCACAGGCCTGCACGGTACCCTACTACCTCCAGGGGCTCTCTCCTGCCAAGGGGATGGCCCTGGAATTAAGTTGAGATTTCCAAAGCTCTACAAAAGTCATCCTTCCTCCTGCTGGTCAGATGCCTGAAGCCCTGAAGACACCAGTGAGAATTGAGCTAGCCTCTAAGACAGCTCAACACCTACACACAGGAACGCTGACTCCTGCCCTGGAGAGCAGCCGATAACCCACTGGGCTAAACAGAAGGCACAGACATCATAATACACCCAGAAGCAAGTGGTGCTCACGCTTGCATTCCAGAGCCGCCATGTGAGTCCCTCCAAGGCTTCCAAGTCCCACTTGATTGTTTTCATCATATCTCTATAACATCAGAGACATTATATCTCGTGGTATGTATGAGATCGCTCTTACTTTTACGAGCACATATGCTCCTGAGTTACCAAGGATGAAACTGTTCCACAAACCCAGCGTAAGCTGAAAAATATCCTAAATAGAAAGTGCATTTGACATAATAGTTTCAACTTACAACGGGTTCATCCAGAGGCAGCCCATCTCACTCGAATAATGCACCGAGTGTGACTAGTTCACACCATCACAAGGTTGAAAAACAACTGCCAAAATGTAACCATTGTGAGCTAGGGACTATCTGTATTGTGGCTCCTGTCTTCAGAGACACAGAAACTCTTCTTAGACAAGAATCACGATTTATAATCCTCAAAATGTTTAACTAAAATTAGTTTAACAATCTACAGGTTCAAACAAAGCCAAGTAGGCTCCACAAGGCCGTTTGTGCCATTCACTAAGACACATGACTCTGTAGTAACCTCACCACAGCCCCTCATGGTGGGTCCCAGGTGGCTGAGGCTTGTGGCTACGACACTAATGAAACCAAAATCAGCATGTGCAGGTGCAAGTCAAGCCACATGACTTCTCCACTAGAATATGCACAAATATTCATCAGCAAATCTGATCTTTGCTTTACCTCCCCTCCCATGACCTAAAAAGGAGTCCACTACACACACACTACCCCACTTGGAAAAAAATTCGTTCCTTGCATTCAATTCTGGGTATCGGAATAGACCTAATGGGGATTAAACCTTCCTCCAACCCATTGATTAGTCTTCTCTTAGAGGATGAAGGATTTGCATAACACAAGTCAGCATAAAAGATCTTGTATAGAAACATACTTTCGAGTGGTCGTCATAGTGATTCAATATACAAAGGACCCAATACACAGCACAATGTCTATTAGAAGAATGATTAATTTGTTCCCTAAAAATCCTAATATCTACATAGAAAAATACTCCTACACACATTTTATCATTCTTTACCAGTATAGTCATACAAAGGAGTATCACAAAAGCAAAGAACACATTTGGTTTGACTTACAGTTCTAAATTTAATATAAAATTGCAAAACCACCAAGACAAACATGACTATGAAGTGGCTGAATGATCTTCACCTAAATTCAAGTCACCATTCAACCACCAATACCTCTGCTCTTACAGGAACTTTCCAAAAGTCAATTTGGAATTAATAGGACAAGTTTTTCTGGTGATAGAAATTAGGAAGAAATTGCTGAAGACTGTTCTGGCTGTCAAATTTTTCTCAATAATATTTTGTAAAATAAAAAGCTGGCCAAACAGATCTTCACATTAACTTACAATCTATCACAAATACTGAGCAAGCTTTAAATATTAGCCACATTCTCATTAAGACAGGATGCCCTCTCACTCCTATTCAACATAGTGTTGAAGTTCTTTGCTAGGGCAATTAGGCAAGAGAAAGAAATCAAGGGTATTCAGTTAGAAAAGAAGAAGTCAAATTGTCCCTATTTGCAGATGATATGATTGTATATTTAGAAAACCCCCATTGTCTCAGCCTCCAAAATCTCCTTAAGCTGATAAGCAACTTCAGCAAAGTCTCAGCATACAAAATTAATGTGCAAAAATCAAGCAAGCATTCTTATACACTATAACAGACAAACAGAGAGCCAAATCAGAATGAACTCATTCACAATTGCTTCAAAGAGAATAAAATACCTAGAATCCAACTACAAGGGATGTAAAAGGACTCCTTCAAGGAGAACTACAAACCACTGTTTAGTGAAATCAAAGAGGACACAAACAAATGGAAGAACATACCATGCTCATGGATAGGAAAATCAATATCATGAAAATGGCCATACTGCCTGGCTGTAATTTATAGATTCAATGCCATCCCCATCAAGCTACCAATGAGTTTCTTCACAGAATTGAAAACTGCTTTAAAGTTCATATGGAACCAAAAAAAGAGCCCGCATCTCCAAGACAACTTGGAGTCAAAAGAACAAAGCCAGAGGCATCACGCTACCTGACTTCAAACTATACAAGGCTACAGTAACCAAAACAGCACGGTACTGGTACCAAAACAGATATATAGACCAATGGAACGGAACAGAGTCCTCAGAAATAATACCACACAGCTACAGCCATCTGATCTTGACAAACCCAGAGAGAAACAAGAAATGGGGAAAGGATTCCTATCAATAAATGGTGCTGGGAAATTGGCTACTTGGCAAGTAGAAAGCTGAAACTGGATCCTTCTACTCCTTATACGAAAATTAATCAAGATGGATTAGAGACTTAAATGTTAGACCTAATACCATAAAAGTCCTAGAGGAAAACCTAGGTAGTACCATTCAGGATATAGGTACGGGCAAAGACTTCATGTCTAAAACACCAAAAGCAACAGCAGCAAAAAGCAAAATTGACAAATGGGATCTCATTAAACTTAAAGAGCTTCTGCACAGCAAAAAGAAACTACCAGAGTGAACAGGCAACCTACAGAATGGGAGAAAATTTTGCAATCTACTCATCTGACAAGGGGCTAATATCCAGAACCTACAAAGAACTCAAACAAATTTACAAGAAAAAACAATCCCATCAAAAGTGGGCAAAGGATATGAAATAGACAGTTCTCAAAAGAAGACATTCATACAGCCAACAGACACGAAAAATGCTCATCATCACTGGCCATCAGAGAAATGCAAATCAAAACCACAATGAGATACCATCTCACATCAGTTAGAATGGCAATCATTAAAAAGTCAGGAAACAACAGGTGCTGGAGAGGATGTGGAGAAATAGGAACACTTTTACACTGTTGGTGGGACTGTAAACTAGTTCAACCATTGTGGAAGACAGTGTGGCAATTCCTCAAGGATCTAGAACTAGAAATACCATTTGACCCAGCCATCCCATTACTGGGTATATACCCAGAGGATTATAAATCATGCTGCTATAAAGACACATGCACACGTATGTTTATTGTGGCACTATTCACAATAGCAAAGACTTGGAATCAACCCAAATATCCATCAGTGACAGACTGGATTAAGA